AAGTGCTGAAGAGTTGCGCCCTTTCCAACAATGATATAATGTGATGTTCTTTATGACATGTATAATTTGAGGTATTGTTTAGTTTACATGGTCTGATGTATTATTCGATATTCCCTTTGTCCTATCTTATTCTTGTCCTGTCTCATATGCAGTTTGTATTTAAATGTGACATACACTTTATTGGCTAGGTATGCATGTATGTTTTGGAAGTAAAATCAACTCACTTATTTGACTATCATGAACTGCAAAGCCACAGCTGACTGGTTACGCACCTTAGCTCTGATGTCGTTGTAACGTGTCCTGAGTGAGACGAGAACAGTGCTCAGATCATCCTTGCTTCCCTGCCCTTGTTTCAGAGCGATATACTCTGAGTTTAGCTCCTCTAGAGCCACCGTCTGTGAAGTTTTATGCACATACACACACACAGAGGAACAGATCTATGATGATTTTATAATACATTTTTATGTATTTCCACTACAGCTGAATATTAAGCACTCAAAACATCATCAAAAGTCAAACAACTGAAGAACATTGATATGCATTGATTTAAGACCTTTAATCACAAACATGAAGTAATCTACAATCTGTTCTGTCTGTAATAGAGTAGATGTGTATGTTTGACTTATAAACATAAAACATCTGCTGATTCAAAAAAAAGTGTTGCTTGGTTAATTTTGAAATTGACGTTTCCAGTGACTTTTTTTGCATTCTTATCAGAAAAGGGGGAACAAATTAGACCTGTTTTTTGCCATACATGTTTTAAGTCAACTTTATAACAGGGCCATATCCAGGAGTTCAGAACTAACTTATGGTACATAACAAATAAAAAAGAAAGATATTTTGCCATTCATACCTTAGCTTTGAGCTGAGCTGTAAGGACGTTGTATTGCTCCTCTATTTGTGCCTTTAGTGACAGAGCATCAGTCTTCTCCCTGACCAAGTCTGTAAATTTTCTCTGGAGCTCCTTCACCTGCAGAGGACACAAACACTGGTGAGGTCTAGCAGATAAAGAAGAGTTAGACATATAAACAGATAAACAATGTTTTTATTTGGGTTCGTACCTGGAGGGAAAGTTAGTGAAAGGCTTTACCAAAAACACATTACTATGGGACATATTTATGGCTTTAGGTCTCAGGAAGGCCAATTAGGGCAGAACTGTACGTTGAGTTGTTAATAGACAGACCAAAGGGCATGGGTGGAGCAGATTATGGCACCATGTTGACATTTTTGTAGTTAGTAGTTAGTATATTTGTGTAAATACCTGGGTTATGAGGCTCTCATTTTCCTGTCTGGTTTCTTCAATCTGATTAGCTACAAATGTCAGCCTCGTCACCTTGTCAGATGCTTGGGCTGCCTTTCTCTCTGCCTCCTCCCTCCTGGTTTCTGACTGACACAATTCACTGTGCAACCTCTCCGTCTGAACATGCCACAAACATGAACATGAATACATTAAGTTAGTGAAATCTCTAATGATACACCATTGACCTGTAAATACAAAATGGAGAGAGCCAAAGATTAAACAAAAGTTCTGTCATATTTCTCTTTCAGATTAAGATTAACAAACTACATGCACTGGAAATTACAATAAAGAACTGCATTCATTGTGTTGTTATTAATATCAATAATAGCTACGACAGTGATTCGGTTAAAATGACAAGTTTTATTATGAAGTAGTCAAAGGAACTGCAGTGTGTTTGTCAGTGAGCTTGACACCGGCCGCTATTGTTCAGCAAAATGCATCTACAGAACAAGACAACGGTAATTTTCTGGATTTTATGACAGCTGATCAGTTTAAAGGGAGTAATGGAACAAGAAGGAGCAGCCACAGTGAGCTGCAGGCCACACGATATATGCCTCCAACT